TAGCTCCTTCCCACTACCAGCCACGCTACCCACGACCACACCCAATTCATTGAAGCGGCTGGCGTGTAGTCGAGTGCCGCACCGCCGCGGCGTTGACACGCTGAGAGACGCGCCGAGCGGCATGGACTTGTTTGCCCTAGGTGGTTGAGCACGTCCCCGACCGCCCGACCCCGCACATGCCCCCCACCAACCTCATTGCAAGATATGTCCAATCTGATTTCACTTCTCCCCTACTACATGCCCACACTACCCCCTTGCACAGTTTCCAATCCACAGCTGCAGTATTCCAGAATCCGAGTTCTGCCACCTGAGGCCCAAGTTGTTGACCCTGTGTCCCTTCGATGCTGCTCACCCCTCCTCCCCGGGCCCATATTCGACCCCCACTAACCACCATCCGCACCCACAACCACCACACCTACACCACACCTACCCACCACACCTACAACCTCACCCATCCGATCCCCGCCCGCATGGACGTACCTCAGCCGACACCAGCCCGTCAACAGCATCACTGCCGGCCGCCTGCTGCTCACCGCTGACCGCCGCCGCCCACCAGCGCCATCCGCCGCCCACCAACCGGCACGTCACCGGGGCCACCCATAGCGAGCTAGGCATGGATGCGGCACGGGAGGAGGTGCCTGCGGGCAGTTACATGGGTGGTGATGACTATCCAGCCCTCTACATCGTCTGTGCACAGGGACGAGCTTGACGGGCTTGACTTTGATGTCTTCGCTCCACCCGCTGCTGCCGCGGCCGCCAACGAGCTCACCCACCGGCCGACCGTTGGTCAGACTCGCCGGGCGTCATCGCCCGTTGACTGCGACCGACCTACCTCGGTCCAACGGACGTTGTTTCATTCTGTCACCTTGGCAGCTCGTGACTCACGGTCGATCGTCCCTTCCGGGCTGAACGACTTTCGTCCGCGCATCCCGCTCACCGAGCTCGCCATCGTTCGTCCGGATCCGTTTGAACATGTCGACATTCCGCTGGGACTGCCCGTCGTTCCGCTCTACGAGGACGACTTTGTTGATGCACTTCGCGCCTCGGTTGCTGTTCCTGCTGGCACCCAGTGGTCGTACCCTGCTCGACTCACGCTGTCCAATCCGCAGTACAAGTCTACAGCGTTGCTGTCATTGACTC